ATGAACGTATTGAAAATAGATAGATCGATAGATACATACATATGCACGTATTATAGATAGATAGATAGATAGATAGATAGATAGATAGATAGATAGATAGATATGAACGTCTTGAAAATAGATAGATCGATAGATACATACATATGTACGTATTATAGATAGATAGATAGATAGATAGATAGATAGATAGAAAGATAGATAGATAGATATGAACGTCATGAAAATAGATAGATCGATAGATACATACATATGTACGTATTATAGATAGATAGATAGATAGATAGATAGATAGATAGATAGATAGATAGATAGATATGAACGTCTTGAAAATAGATCGATAGATACATACATATGTACGTATTATTATAGATAGATAGATAGATAGATAGATAGATATGAACGTAGATTGAAAATAGATAGATCGATAGATACATACATATGTACGTATTATAGATAGATAGATAGATAGATAGATAGATAGATAGATAGATAGATAGATAGATAGATAGATAGATAGATATGAACGATAGAATTGAAAATAGATAGAACGTATTGAAATAGATAGATACATACATATGTACGTATTTATAGATAGATAGATAGATAGATAGATAGATAGATAGATAGATAGATAGATATGAACGTATTGAAAATAGATAGACCGATAGATACATACATATGCACGTATTATAGATAGATAGATAGATAGATAGATAGATAGATAGATAGATAGATAGATATGAACGTCTTGAAAATAGATAGATCGATAGATACATACATATGTACGTATTATAGATAGATAGATAGATAGATAGATAGATAGATATGAACGTATTGAAAATAGATAGATCAATAGATACATACATATGTACGTATTATAGATAGATAGATAGATAGATAGATAGATAGATAGATAGATAGAATATCAACATAAATCTATTTAAGAAATAGAATAAAAAATATTGTTTTTTTTTATATACTCTCAATATAACTCTTCAAATTTCAGTATTTTATCACTCTTATATATGATACTATATCTTTTAAAAGAAATCCTTTTGCACCCATATTCACATCCATCTATCCATTTTGTCTCCTTGTAAAGAATTACTACGCCCCTATTTCATATAGTCGCGTGTGTGCATTTATTCGCCCCCCCTATTCAGAGAATACAATGTCAAAACAATGACCAACTTTATGAAAATATTCTTCCATTCCAAATGCCAAGCGAAGATTTTCAGTGAATACACTGTAAGTAGATTAACCAGCAGGAAAAAAAAATAAATGCGTTTAATTCTTATATTTCCCCTGGTTAGCGTTTCGGGATTATAAAATTTAATAAGAGCCCGACGTCCATTGAATGCGAAAATGTTTAAATCAAATCATCTTGTGTTTACGATGAAGCGAGGACGTCGGATTCGGCCTTTTTTATTCCCGGGATAAGAAAAAAAAAATGACTCAGATTTGTGGCATATTGTTAGCCTTTTGGTTGAACAATGATATTGTAAATAGTGAAATTGAAATATCCACAGAAAAACATCGGGAACATTGCCAACAGATAGATAGATAGATAGATAGATAGATAGATAGATAGATAGATAGATAGATAGATAGATTTCAACAGACCTAGATAGATAGATCTAGATAGATAGATATGAACAGACCTTAATAGATAGATAGATAGATAGATAGATAGATAGATAGATAGATAGATAGATAGATAACAGACTGAGAGAGAGGGATGAATAGGCTGTGATAGATAGCTACATCTCTATCTAGAAAAGGCAGGATGTGTGTGTGTGTGTGTGTGTAATGAATGCACGGTCGCAATTTTCGACGGATTTGCACCAAAATTTACATGCTCCAAGTTAGCGGAAAGGCCAAGACTGATTTTCCGCATTTCCCAACTCCCATCGATCATGGAAATAATCGATTTTTTTTCATGCTTCTACGGCAGTTTTCATGTAGTTTGCGGCCATTTTCTACTGGACAGAGTGAGAGCCTATAGCTGGCTGCCACGAGTAGACAGGAAGATTCTATTGGCCAGCGTGAGAGCCAACAGCTGACTGACACGAATGTCAACTAGCATGCTAGCATGCAAAACAAAAAATCGATAGCTTCATTCGTCACAAATGGGAAAAATTTAAATCTGCATGGCACTTTACTCTAATTGGCTCATTCGCTTGCTTAAACTCAACGTTGATTCTGATTCCGCAGAATTGGGTTGGTTGTGAAAAAGTATTTGTTGTTAACATTATTTTTTCATTCGGTTTTTCCAGTTACGAGTCCTTTTTTAAAGCTGATCGTTTTGTGTTCATTTTGTTTAGTTCTGTGAGATAGGCAAGAAGTAAGGCAACATCAGCACGGCAAAGGGCACTCCTTTAAAGGCAAGGGAGGGCAAAAATACTTTAGGTCAAGTGATAGCGATTGCTGTATGAGTCGTACGATTTTTTAATCAAGCACGGGCAACGCCGGGCCATGCTGCTAGTACATAGATAAATCCAATAGCGAGCGAGATAGATAGATAGATAGATAGATAGATAGATAGATAGATAGATAGATAGATATGGGCAGTCTCTTTCTCTATTGCTTTCAATCTGTCATGTGAGTATTAAATTTTCTCAGCCCTCTTTCCTCTTTATTTCAGCTGTCTCTTTCTGATGTTAACTATTTGTTCTTTTGGTTTACATTTTCTCGAAAGATTTGTCTTTGTTCACATTGGTAGTCCATAGTATTCTCAGCATCCTTCTGTAGATCCACATTTCTGTTGTTTCAAGTCTTTTCTTAATCTGTGAAGAGATTTTTCAAGCATTCTCTGCCATATACGAGGACCGATAACTCTTCGGCAGTCTTTCCTTATTTTTTTTTTTTTTTTTTTTTTTTTTTCTAACGAGATTTTACTGTTTCTTGATACTATGCTTAGCTTTTGGAAGACATCTTTTGGTATCCCAACGTTCCTTCGTGTTTCAGTGTCGCACTTTTTATGTCCTCTGCTAAAAAGAAAAAAAAAAAAAACAAAAAAAAACAAACTGCGCACTTGTTTGTATTCTGGTATCCCCAATGTGTAATTTGAATGTCGGAACTGTTTCCCTTTTGCTAACAACCAAGACTAGCGGACAATACTAAACCTTCCCTACAACGCCAGCCGACATTTTTAATCGAGTCCCTCTGAGCCAACGACCTTTCTGTTATGTGTTTATTTAAAAACGTCGAGACGATTCCAAATTCAAATTTAATATTCAACCGAAACACAAATGAAAAAAAAATAGTTTTACATTATTTAATCACGGATGTTTCGTTACCATCAAACACAATTTAAATTAATTTCGCTTTCCAATTAACTTGCATACATCAACCGTATTAATTTGTATCGGTTGATGATTGGCTGAACAAAAGAGATAACTGATAATACGACAAACAATTTTGTTTTATGTGCATCTAAGGCAGGGGGTGGGGTTGGGGTTAGAGGCCGCTCTACTCTTTCCGGGACTACTTAAATTCATGGGTCCGTTTGTAAAAAAATAAAAAAAAGTTTAGTGGTTGTGAAGAGGGGTAATCGGGAGGGATACAAGTTGAAAACTGGCCCAACAGTGTGGACGAAAAAGAAGGCTATGACGCCAATGAGCTATCGTAGATTTCGATTGTGTATTTTTAAATTATCATTAAAATTAAGTCTATCATCCGGAGATTTCAGGAAAAAAAAATGAAGTATCCGATAGATAGATAGATAGATAGATAGATAGATAGATAGATAGATAGATAGATAGATAGATATGGGCACCTCGAGGTGGTGCAATGGTTAGCAAGCTTGTCTCGCTCGAACAATTACAACTGAGTAGTGAGTTCGATCCTCACTGGGTGCCCCATACTTTCGGCCCTGTGCCACATCTGAGCTATGCTTGGAAAATCACGATAGATAGATAGATATGCACAGACTGAGATAGATAGAGAGATAGATGTGCACAGACTGAGGTAGATAGATAGATATGCACAGACTGAGGTAGATAGAGAGATAGATATGCACAGACTGAGATAGATAGATAGATAGATAGATAGATAGATAGATATGCACAGACTGGGATAGATAGAGAGATAGATATGCACAGACTGAGGTAGATATATAGATAGATAGATATGCACAGACTGGGATACATAGAGAGATAGATATGCATAGACTGAGATAGATATATAGATAGATAGATATGCATAGACTGAGGTAGATAGAGAGATAGATATGCACAGACTGAGATAGATAGATAGATAGATAGATAGATAGATAGATAGATAGATAGATAGATAGATAGATATGCACAGACTGAGGTAGATAGATAGATATGCACAGACTGAGGTAGATAGATAGATATGCACAGACTGGGATAGATAGAGAGATAGAGAGATAGATAGATATGCACAGACTGGGATAGATAGAGAGATAGATATGCATAGACTGAGGTAGATAGAGAGATAGATATGCACAGACTGAGATAGATAGGAAGGAAGAAAGAAAGAAAGAAAGAAACAAACAAACAAACAATCCTGGAGAAATTAGCTAAAAAATCTCCCCTACGAGCGCGATTTAACACTAGTTAATGTAAAAGGGTCAAACAGAGTCTCTAAAACCAATTATCTATCATGGATTCCAATAGTTTGCATCACGCCATATTTAAAAACCATCATTATTATTATAAAATCTAATGTCTGGGAAGAGATTTTAGATTAAAAAAAAAAAGATTTTTCTTTAATTAAATCCCGATTTTTATTGAAATTTTAATGCAACAATGATTATAGACATGGAACTGAATGATGTTTACTACGAGCGCTTGAACGCCATGCCGAGAGGTCATTGTTCTTGGCACCCCAGTGTCCATTAGCCAAACTAAAAATTTATAGACAACAAAAAAAAATTTTTTAAAGCTTTGCTATGGAAAATAAATCTTTGTTATGCAACTAAATGCCGTATTCAATCAATAATGGTTGCATTTTGTTTTCGACGCTGATTTTCTGTAAAATAAAATGGAATTATTACATTAAGATAAACAATTTCTCTAAGTACGAACATATAAGCATTAAAGAAATGAATCAACATCAAAGCTACAAAACATTTGTAGAGGCGGTGGGACGGGGGTGAGAACAAAGTCATCTGTCGCTGTCTTTGTTTAGATAGATAGATAGATAGATAGATAGATAGATAGATAGATAGATAGATATAAAACAAACGGAGAATGAGATAGTCATTCATCTAAATCTTTACATATCTAAGTTGTTGATAAACGGACTGAGATAGATATAAACAGGTTTTAATATATAGAAAAGTTTTTAGCCAGGAGAAATAAACTACATCCAATTTCAAGATATAATTACGTAATCCCTATTCAACATAAACAGTATTTGAAACTAGTATGGAGTAGGTCCTCCATTTGCTAGTTTCAGTTCATGTATTCAATTTCTCATGGATTTGATCAAGTTATTAACAATCGTCTGATCCATATTTTGCTACTCCTTTAGCAATGTTTCTTTAAGGGGTTGCCACTGGCGTGATTTGCACGCTCTCGATGTTTTCGGTCAAGGTGCTCCCAAACGTGCTTTATTGGATTCGTGTCAGGATTTTGGGCTACCCATAGCAGTGACTTGATTCTTTGCCATTTCTTCCAAGCATTCGCTACTTTGCTCGTATGACATGGCGCTTCATCTTCTTGAAAAAGGTAGACATTCTTGTCAATCTGATTGATTTCAAATAGTGGGAGTAGTCCTTTCTCTAATATTTGACAGTATTTTCGACCATTCAACTGCTCGTCAACAAGAATTAGCTTGGATTTACTTCCAAACCAAACATCGTCCCACACCATTACTCCAATCCCTCCATGTTTCACGATCGCCTGCAGACATTCAGTGTTCCAAGTCTCACTCTGATTTCTCCAAATATAATCCTGTCTCGAATTCGAAAATTTGGCAGAATTTTCTTTCATCTGACTAAATAACAAATTTCATAATCTTTGCTCTCAAATTCTCTGGCCCAGTCCATACACCTGTTCCTGTTAACCTCTGAAATCAAGGGCTTCTTTCTTGAAACTCTTCTTTGATAGCCTGGCTCTTTCAGAGTCTTTCTCTCCGGATATGGGATATTTTCATGCTTTTGGTGACATTCTTTGATTCTCTGACAACGGTTTCTGATGACTTCCCCTCTTCAGCACCCTTTTTGCTCGCTAAGACTCCATGTTTGGTCTTTCTGAACGTTGTTCAATACGACAATGGCCTTCTTCATTAAATTTCTTGACAATATTATTAACCGTTTGATGATCAACCTGGAAAAACCTAGTAATTTCTCTATTTGACTTACCACACTGATGCCATTCTATTATTTGCTCTCGTTGAAATTCACCAATTTCCTTACTTCCGCGAAGTTCCATTGCAAAATATAAATCGTTCATAGATTTGAGTAGCTTCATACTAACACGATATTGTCTGAAAAGAAGATACGTTATTACAAAAGGCAAAATTGCTGTAGTCAAGGTTGGCTAAAAACTTATTATCGCCTACTCTAAATGGCCCGTTAATGTGTCTAAGTGCTGGCCAAAGATTAGCCATTTTTTTGTGTTAACGTATTTCGGTGTACATTGTTTTTCTTATATATTAGTTAAACGCAAACCATACTAAGGCATACGCCGTCTCATAGAAAAATCTGATTATTCTTTTTTAAAGGAAAAATATCACGTGATGTATTATTTTCGAAGAAATACGCCTGTTTTCGGCGGGTTTTGTTTTGTTTTCTTGTTTGTTTGTTTTTTAGCAATTTCCCATATATTTCATCGCCTTTTTTTTTGTAAATGAAATGTGATATAATTTACTTACAGGAAAATTTAATAATAAATTTTATGAGATAAAAGCTGAAGCAAACGGAGATTGACAACATTGGGAAATAGTTTCAGGTTTATACATGCATTTGAGGATTGAGATTTGAGAACGGAATGTCTTATGGCGTTTAGTGATCATATTTTATTTTGTCATTGCCTTACCTTTTTTTTCAGTTTTAAGTTGAGGGAAAAATAAATGTTTAATAAATGTAATAAAATAAAAAAAATGTCGAGTTATACGTTATGAATGGTTTTTTTTTTTTTTACGCTTTCCTTTTATCGTCAGAAACTTCGATATTTTCTTTCTTTCCTCCTTTTTCTTTCTTTTCTATCTTTTTTTTTTCAGTTTCTTCTTTTGACACTTTTTTTTCTCTCTTCCTCTTCTTTTTTCTTTAACGTGATGCTTCTTTCTTTCTTTCTTTCTTTCTTCTGTTCTCTTCTCATCTCTTCTTTTTCGTAATCACTTTTCTTCTTTTTTCGTCCCATTTTTCCATCATTTTCCTTTTTCAATTTTCTCTTCCTTTGCCAGTTCATTTTTCTCTGCTTTCTCTTTTCCTTCTTTCTTTTTTTCTTTTTCTCTTCTCTTTTTCGTAAACTTTTTCTTCTTTTTTCTATCATATCCATTTTTCTTTTTTCTTTTTCAGTTTCCTCTTCTTTTGCCACTTTATTTTTTCTCTTCTTCCTCTTCTTTTTTCTTTAATCTGATACGTCTTCTTCCTTTCTTTCTTTCTTTCATTCTTTCTTTCTTTCTTTCTTTCTTTCTTTCTTTCTTTTCGTAATTTTTTCATTTCTCTTTTCCATCATACGCATTTTCCTTTTTCTCTTTAACCTGATGAATATTTCTTTCTTTCTCTCTCTCTTTCCTTCTTTCTTTCTTCTCTTTTATACTTTTTCGTAATCTTTTTCTTCTTTTTTTCATCTCTCTTTCCACAATATTAATTTTCTTTTTCATCTTTTTCAGTTTCGTCTTCTTTTGCCTCTTTATTTTTTCTCTTCCTCCTCTTCTTTTTTCTTGGACTTAATGCTTCTTCTTCCTCTTTCTTTTTTTCTTTCTCTTCTTCTTTTTCGTAATCTTTTTCTTCTTTTTTCATCTCTCTTTTCCATTATATTCTTTTTTGTCTTTTTTTTCTTTTTCACTCACCTCTTCTTTTTCTTTTTCTCTTCCTCCTCTTCTTTTTCTTTAACCTGATGGTTTTACATTCTTTCTTTCTTTTCTCTATCTCTTTCTTTCTTTCTTTCTTTCTTTTTTTTCCCTTATTTTTCGTAATCTTTTTCTTCTTTTTTCATCTCTCTTTTTCATCATATCCATTTTTCTTTTTGTCTTTTTCAGTTTCTTCTTTTGCCTCTTTATTTTTCTATTCCTCTTCTTCTTTTCTTTTAGCCTAATGCTTCTTCATTCTTTCTTTTTTCTTCTTTTTTCATCTCTCTTTTTCCATCATGTTCATTTATCATTCTTTTTTCTCTCTCAGTCTATTCTTCTTTCGCTAATTCATTTTTTCTCTTCCTCCTCTTCTTCTTCCTCTAATATTTGTTCCTATTCATTTTCTTTTTCATTCTTCTTCGCTACCAATATTTATATTCTTCTTTCATTTTACCTGCCGATTACGGTTTTCTTTCTTTCTTTCTTTTTTTCTTTCGTTATACGTTTTTCGTTTCTTCCACTTCTTCGTTAATTCCTCGATTTCGCTTTTTACCTCTTCCTTCTTTCTATCATTCAATTCATTGTTCGCTTTCTTCTCTTACTTCAAATGCAAACACTTCTTTTTCATCTTTCCTTCATCCTCAAGGACATATGTGACAGCGGATAACGGGGTTGGTTAGATCCAGTGACAGAACCAAAAAAAAAATGTGAGCTCAATATCTATTTAAGTCAGTAGAGAAATTTGAGAGGGGAATTAACAAGAGATAACTGATAACTGACATCCATTTGACATGGTACGTGGAACTATAACAGTCTACACCAGCGAGCGAAATAAAGGGTTCAATTCGACATTCCGACCAGCTGAAGAAGGCCGGAACATTGTGATAAATATGGCAACAAAAATGAGGCCAATAGTCCGAATAATGTAAATAGTGTAGATAATATCTCATCTCAGAAATATAGACAGATACTGAAGGGCCGAAACGTTGTAATAAAAACATGGCGACAAAGAGGAGGACAATAGTCCGAATATGTAAATAGTGTACATAATACCTCATCTCAGAAATATAGACAGATACTGAAAGGCCGAAACGCTGTAATAAATATGGCGACAAAGATGAGGACAATAGTCCGAATAATGTAAATAGTGTACATAATACCTCATCTCAGAAATATAGACAGATACTGAAAGGCCGAAACGCTGAAATAAATATGGCGACAAAGATGAGGACAATAGTCCGAATAATGTAAATAGTGTACATAATACCTCATCTCAGAAATATAGACAGATACTGAAGGGCCGAATAATGTAAATAGTGTACATAATACCTCATCTCAGAAATATAGACAGATAGTTAAGGGCCGAAACGTTGTAATAAATATGGCGACAAAGATGAGGACAATAGTCCGAATAATGTAAATAGTGTACATAATACCTCATCTCAGAAATATAGACAGATACTGAAGGGCCGAATAATGTAAATAGTGTACATAATACCTCATCTCAGAAATATAGACAGTTACTTTCTTTCATTATTTCTTTCTTTCTTTAGTTTATTTCTTTTTTCTACTTCTTACTTCAAATGCCAACAATGTTTCTTCTTCTCCCTCTTCTTCTTCTTCTTCTTCTTCTTCTTCTTCTTCTTCATCATCATCATCATCATCTTCATTTTTCGATTTATAGTTTTCCTGTTCTTTTTTTTTTCCTTCTTTCCTTTTTTGGTCTACATTTGCTAACATGCAACAACATTTGTTGCTCATCTCCGCAGACTGCGGATTGAAACTCTTTCAAGCCCCACCCCACTCCCTTTTTCTTCTACCCTTTCCATTTTGACTCTTTCAGTTTTTTTCCTACCCTCGTTCTTTTCTCGGTTAATTTCTTCATTTCTCCATTTTCTACAAAATTGTTCTTAATTCTTGTGTCTATATCTCACGTTCTTTTAACTCCAATGTTCGGTTTATGGCCGAAGATGCTTTGAAAATCATTCCGTCACTCCAAGAATTAGCTCAATCTTTCCGCCATGCTTTAGCATGGAAATAGTTGGATTCTCACTGTAGTGCTGCTGCCATATTTCTATGGCGTGCTAGACAATTTCGCGACAGTTCTTTTCTCGACAAAATCTATATTACATATTTATAAGTCTACCATTCGTCTTTGCTTCGAATATTGCTGCCAAATCTGGTCTAGTGCCCCTGCTATACACGGTGTCCATAAAGTTCGGGTGCACTTAAAAAAAATTATAACTT